TCTTAAACTTGCAGCTGTCCTGCCTGAGTCTCCCAGTGCTGGGATCACCGGTGTGAGCCACCACAGCCGGCTGTACATGGGCTCTTATTTGAGGATGGCAGGAGTGGAGTGTGCGCTTCCCTTTTAGATAGCTGTGATTTTGACTAGCTTAAATACTTGTTGCAGATGTACAGGTCCAGAGCTGAATGCTGAAGCAGACGTCATGGTGGGTTAGCTCAATCTCAGTGCCCGAGGTGCAGAGCCCCAGTGAGGCTGAGTAAACACTTCCTCCAGGACAAAACCGGGTGTCTGAACGTTCTCGGTCAGCAAGCAAGGTGCAGGCACAGAGGGACCTGTGCTGACGAGGCCGGGCTGCTCAGGTGCAGAGGCCACGGAGGGGTCCCTGCCTCGACTCGGGGCTGGGCGGGTCCTGTTGCCTGTGTTTCCGTTTTCTGCACACCCCAAGGTGATCGTGGACTCTCTGTCGCCATTTCCTGCCCACCACATCCCCGTTCAGCACAGAAGGGGAGGGGTCTCCATGGTCCTGTAGATGCTCAGCTCTCCTCCCACCAGCCAGCGGCCCACCCCAGGCTGAGAACCCGAGTGCTTAGGACTGAGTGGTGTCAGCCTCCTTCTCCTTGCCTCTGTTGACGCTCTGTGAACTGTCTGGTGTGGTCTGGCCGGAGAATCTGAAAGTCAGTGATAGAACAGATGCAAGCGTCCCGCTGCTGTGGCCCGAAGGGCAGTCACCCGGCTTGCTCACTGTGTGGTGGCTCTTCCCAGTGCCCACTGCTACGGCTGAGGACCAGGAGAGGACAAACCGCAGGCCTGGGGCCTGGGCCTGGCCCCTGGGAGCAGCGGGGATTTGCTGAGTCCCTCCTGGGGCATCCTGTCCTGTTGTCAGCCACCTTCACCCAAAAGGTCCGTGGGTGGGCACTTGGTGTGATGGTGCAAGGCAGGCGTCCCTTTGACCCTGCCTTCACAGCAGATGGGTTTTACAGGTGGGCACCTGGCTAGACACGCTGCGCAGTGCTGCCCGCTGGCGGCTGTGTCCCTGAACAGGCTCCACGGGTCTTCTCAGGAGAGGGAAGGGACTCGTCTGCACTCCTGGAGGAGGGGAACACCTCTCCCCTCTTCACGAGAGCCCTGTTTGAATTCAGCATGTTCTGCTTTTGGGTAAACTTGGAGGTGCATTTCCAGGTCTGACTGTCTGTGGGAAGCAAGGGAAGGGCCACCCATCGGGGGCACCTTGGTGTCCCCCGTCTCTAGGGCGTGGCTGTCGCCCGGCTGCCCACAACTCAAGGTAACTCGCACTGGGGAGCAGCCCTGCACCAGGCGGGAGGCCGTCCTGGGTGTGGAGTGGACGAGGCACCTGCTCTTTAAGGGACCCGTGGAGCCCTTGGCCGGGGAGGCAGGTGAGCCCAGAAAGAAGTGCTTGCTTTCCGTTTCTCAAGGTTCACCCCGCAGAGACAGAAGCAAAGGTTGGGGAGGAGGAAGCACCCACAGACTGGGCCTCAGGTCCCTGCTGTCCTGGATCCACCAGGATCCCAGGGATCCTCGAGGCAGCGGCCACCTGGTCCCAGTGTGGTGGCCTCCCCTGCTTGGGGCTCACCCATGGGAGGCGCAGGGCTGGGAGCAGAGCCTTGGGGAGGGCAGCACGGACAGTGGAGGAGGCCGGTCCCACAGTCCCCATGACCACCTCCTGGGTCCTGTTCCCTAGTGGATGGCAGGAGGTTTCCACGGCAGCTTCCCAGCAGGAGATGCACTGTGCTTCAGCCTCTCACAGCTACAGGGCTGTCCTGCAGGTGCCTGGAGTTCTGCCTCGTGAGGCTGCTGTGACCCTTGCTCTTGGGATGAATCTGCCTGAGCACCAGGGAGACCCAAGTTACCAGCTCTGCATCCACCTGCTGCAGCTCCACTGCCCAAGGCCACAGAGGCAGGGCAGGGTGTGCCCTTGGGTCCGGCCTGCGACTGCGGAGCTGCCTCCCCGAGTTGCAGGGTCAAGGCACTGCTGCAAAGAGCAAGCACTCCTACTTGCTGATCTGTGTGCAGAGAGAGGGCCGGCTCTGAGCGTCTGGAGCTGGCTTTGAGCTCTTCCTATGGGAGCCTGTCTGGTGGCCATGTCAGGCACCTCAGGCCGCTTTCCGTCCAGGCCCAGGCCTGCAGGGCTCAGGGACTCAGGAGGAGCTGGCCACCAAGCCACCGTCCCATGCTGCTCGGGCCATGGCTGACATCATGCTGTCAGCTCTCAGCCTGTCTGGCTGTGGAGGGCAACACGGCCGATGGCGCTCAGGGTCATGGAGGTGCAGAGGCCAGGGCAGAGCAGGACAGGACCAAGGGGAGGAGGAGACACCTGGGGCACAGAAGGCGCCTTCTCAGACAGCCTCTCTGCCGTGCTGTGTGTTCTCGTGCTGAGTCCCAGCATGTCTGAAGGTCAGGACTCAGGGCTCGAACATGTTGGGGAAAGGAAGCCACGCCAGAAGGGAGGGTGAGTCTCCAGTCTGCTGGGCAGGAGACAGAGGGGCCCGCAGAGCCCTGCAGCAAGTGACCAGGAGACTGAAACGAGAAACACGGCCCGCGTTCCCTCCTCACGCTGAGTCCGGAGTGGCGCAATGCTGACTGCTGCCCGTCAATCCTTGCTTCAGGCTGGGTCATGGCTCTAACAGTCCAGATGCAGTTCACCCTTGGAACCCTGAGAGGCACACTGTGAACCCTGCCTTACAGACCTCGCAACAGAGACAGCGCAAGATCAGCGACCTCCTCCGGGTCATCCTCCTCAAAGTGGCCACGCTAGGGCGCACCAAGCCTGAAGCAACCAGAACTCCCAGCCAGCAGGTGACATCGTAGGTCTCCTGGAGGGCGCCTCCATCCCCAAAGAACGGTCCAAGTGCTCAGCTTCCTGTCCTGGCTAGGGTACCTCACGTGTCACACTGAGAGCCAGGATCACTGGCCCTGGGATGAGGGAATGCATCCAGGGAGAATGCTTCCAGGCATTGCCCTCTCAGGAACTGTGTCCAGGAAATCCCCAGGGACTTTGGAGAGGAGAGACCAGCTCCATCTCCAGAGCTGTTAGCTGTGCCCCTCAGTCTAGAGGAGTAACCCCAGAGCCTAGCAAGGCAGCAGTGCACCCGCCCATTTCACTCTTGGTTTCCTGTGTAGATCTGCAGTGTGAGAATAAAGTCTGGATGTGGCGGAGTGCCGATCCTGTTTTCCCTTTTCCTGGGGTTGCAGAGGCATAAAGCCCAACAGTGTGCCCAGGCTTGTGGATGGGTCTCTCAGCTGAGCAGCTTGGGCTGCATGTGTGGGGTGCAAGGAGGTGGGTTCTCTGCCTGAAACCCCAGACTTGGGCATTGGATGGCACTAGGAGAATCCTAGAAGGCATAGCAGGAGTCACTAGACATTTCCCCCTTTAAAATGTTGTATTTGGCATGTTCTACACACTGGGCCAGGAGTTTAGAGGGAAGGCTGTTGCTATGCTATCCCTGGAGTGGCAGTGACTGTCCTCAGGAGGTCAGCGCTGTTCCTAGAACTCCACATACATGCACAGTGCTCACAGCTTACCTTGGGGTGCTGTGACACACCTGGCCCTGTTTGATAAGTAGGTGGGTCTGGAGAGGGCTCTTCTAGGATGTGGCTTCCGGCCAGTATTCTGGCTCTCGTGCTGCCTAGGGAGGTCTGGTGAAGACCTATGCTTTACCTTAGCTGCTGCGCATTTCTGCTGGGCCCCACCAGCTGCTGCTGGAATAGGCGCCACCTGGGTGACACTGGCCACGGGCATGCGTGCGTCCAGGTCCAGGTGCATCCAGGCCCAGGAGGTCCAGTCCCCATGTGCCTGAGTCCAGATGCCCCCAGGCTCAGGTGGGTCCAGGCCTGAGCATGTCCTGCTCAGCTCAGCCTTGGAGCATCTGGACTGAGGCCAGGGCCCAGGAAGCCAGGTGCACTGTATCTTATCGTCTCCCCCTCCTTCTCTTCTCTGAGCGCGTGTTCTGTTGAATGGGACACCAGTAGCTTTCCTCCAGCACGGCTTGTCCACTATGCTCCCGAGTCTCACCCACCTTCCTAACACCCCTGGTCACATCAGCTCCAGGGAAACCCTCCTGTCCACGGCCAGGAGCCTCCACTGTGGACCTGCTCCTGGTCTACCCTTGGAGGGGACCTACAAATCTGGCTGTCTCTCGTCCTCGGATGCTGGGCAGCATTCTCGGACACATGGCCCTCGGTTTAGGATTCTGTCTGAGGCTTCTCTGGGGCAACCTCCAAGGGAAGTCATAAGGGCAAGAGCCCAAGAGGGGGCCCCAGCCACCAGGGCCTGGAGGGTGCTACTGGGGCATGGGGACAGTCCTGCAGATTACACAGCTGGGGAAGAAGAGGGTCTCGGCACAGCCATGGGTGCTCAGGGGTCTCAGGAGCCCGGGCAGCTTCCTCTGGGGGTGTTTCCAGGGCTGGAATGAGTGCTGCACTGGCTGATCAGCAGTGGTCAGCGGCAGTGTCTCCAGAGAGTGCTTTGAGCTCTAGACCCACTTCAGATCAGCAGCAGTGGGGACCAGACTTCAGAGGCCACTGTGCACCCAGGCAGGCGGGATGGGGACCTTGGAAGTGGGAGCCAGCATCTTGCAGGAGCCTCATTCGAGAGCCCACACACTCTCCGCAGCCTCTCCTAGAACTCATGGACTTGCAGCATGGCTCCCGTGTGTGGGCAGAGGCATGTCAGCCACTCACTTCCTGCCTTCTGGAGCCCTAGTCCAGAACGTCTCCATGTGGGGTGATGTCCATGTGTCCCTTGTTAAGGCAGCATGTCCTCCTGGCTCCTGCACACCTCGCCTGCTTGCTTGCTCTCTCTGGGACTGTCCTGTCTGAGAACAGAGTGTTCTTTGTCCCTGCAGTGAGGTGAGGAAGTCATCTGGGGGGCGGGGGACAGTTGTTTTCCAAGGCAGGCGCCCAGAACAACAGAATACGAGGAAGCCGCCCATTGTCTTGCAGTCCCAGTGCCAGCTGCTGTCTCCCTGGTTTTCCCCCCGCAGGGAGCACTCCCTTCCCTCTGTAGACGGGGCGGATACCTGTGGCCAAAGGATGCCAGGGTCTGCAAAGTGGCCCCTCCGAACAGGGGGCCAACAGGTGTGCACTGCCCCGCAGGAGGACACGACCGCGCGTCACCCGTCCAAGCCTGTGCTGGCTCCAGCCCTCTGCTCCCCGGGGCTGGGCTGAGTTCAGGGTATCAGGCAGGACACGCACCCTGGGCTCAAGACTGCACTGTGGGTCCTGGTGCACCCTTTCCTGGGGAGTGGGGCGGAGCACTTCTGCCTGTCCTGTGGGGGCAGGAGGGGGCCCTCCCCGTGCTTTGGGGCTGTAGAAGTACCTGCTGGCCTCTTCCCAGGGGGCTTGTGACTTTCTGATGCCTCCCTGAGCCTGGGGTGGGAGTGAGTTTGTCCTGGGAGTAGAGGCACGGCAGGGTGGGCTCCTTCTGGCCACTCTGGAGGACCTGCCCTGCCCCCTCCCACTGTTCCCTTCCACTGGCTCCCCTGTTGTCCGCCACCCTAAGCCTCCTGCCTCCCTTAGAAGGGCCTGTGAGGACACCTGGCTCCAAGGCTCCAACTTAACCCCACCTGTCCCTTCTTCCACACAGCCGTGCCGCAGCCCTCACCACCCTGCTTGCTGGGCTGCGGTTGGCTCTGGTGATGAGGACCCACGGGTACAGGCTCGCGGTCGGTGCCCCCCACCTCTGCTCCCATGGCTGCCCAGGCCTGAAGTGCAGAGTCGCTGTCCCCATCGGGGTCTCCGCTGGCATGGAGCAGCATGCTGTCCATGGGGCTCCCAGGAGCCTTCTGGAGGCCTCACCTAAGACAGGACGTGAAGCACTGAGTTCACCATCAGGAAAATGAAGTGAGTGGGCACCAACATGGAGCTCGACGTGCCCGTGTGCACCTGCCGCCTGTGGCTGAGTGCTGCTCCCTGAAGTGGGTGGCTCTGGCGAGGTCAGCCCAGGTGGGGGCACAGGGCAAGCAGAGTCCCCTGAGCCCTGGGCCTCCCTGGGCTTGTTCCCATAGAGGGCATCCAACCTGAGGCACTGTGTTTCTCCTCAGAGCAGTGCCAGCGCCTCCCCATCCCGTGGGCTGCAGAACTGAGGCCGCCCTCAGGCTTCCTGCTGTTCAGGTAGTCCTAACTCCTGTGGCAGTGTCCTTGTCTCTATCCGCAGAGGCCCCGGTGGGCTGCAGGCTGGCTTCACATCCACTTAGAGGTCAGGACAGACAGGGACACTAGCAGCTGAGCCCCCGCCCCACCCATCAGGGATCCAGGCTCTCCTGGGGCGCTCACATCATCCCAAGCTCCTATGCCAGGCCTTGGGATGCTGCCCTGTGCGCCCTCTGCTGTCTGCCCCTTGTCCCCAGGACGCTGTGAGGCTTGGGACTCAGCCTTCCACCCCTGCCCACAGCTGGTTTGTCCTCTGGGCTCATCGAGGCAGCCTCAGTGCTCTGCCTCTCACCGCATCCGTCCTGCTCCTCCTCCGGCACGGCCCTCTGTCCCTGCAGGCTGGAGCTGGAGGATAGGAGGATGACAGGATGACAGATCTGCTCTCCAGTCCTCCCTGGTCAGCTTCTCCACACAAACATGCACAGGCATACACAAACATGTGCACACACGCGCAGACACATGCACACACGTGTGCACTTCTTTCTGGGCGAGGTTGTACAGCCCCTGGTGGGCGTCTGTGGGGTCCTGGGGGAGCAGGTTTCCTTCTCTGAAGGGCAGGGCCTCTGCCTGACCCTGGGGCCTAGGGCCCACCCAGCATGGCCTCCATGCCTGGCTGTGGACCTTGCCCTGGACCCTAGCTCTGCCTTCCACGCTCTGCTGGTGGCTGCCCTTCCTGCAGGGCCCTTGGGCTGGGCAGACTCTCTGCCAGACTTCCGTCAGGCATAGCCCCCATTTGAGCCTTGTGCCCAGGTCACCTTGCTGGCTCCCTGGGGGTGGAGGCTAAGGAGCCCCTCTGCCTGGTGGTGCCCCTCACTCCCGGACAAGAGGCGAGGATGGGGTCCCTCTGTCCCTGGCTTCCCTCAGCCCAGTTGTCTGAGTGCAGACTGTGGGCATCTGGTCCTGCTTCCTCCCACCAGCTCGGCAATGTGCCCCGGCAGCCAGGGGCAACCTGGCTGGGCCAACCCTTCCTCTCTAGAACCCTAACTCCAACCCCATGCTTCTCGGGAATCCTGGGTGCTGAGGGCCAGGGAGCTCAGCCAGGAAGCTGGTTCTTGAACAAGTTGGTCTCTTGATAGCCTGGCCACCAGGGACTGACATCCACAGCTGGGAGCCACAACAGCCCGGGTGTCCACTCCCACATGATGGGATGGCTGCTTGCCCATACTCCCCAAGCCGCCCCTGGGTGCTGCCAGTGGGTGGTCTGTGAGTTCCCCGGGCCCAGGAAGCAGGCTCCAGGGCTCCACTCCCAAGTGCCACCCTGAATGTCCGTACCTGTCCTCAGAAGACTTGTGGAGCACCGCCCTAGCCCCCAAGTGTGACCTGATTTGGAAATGAAGCCTTTCAGATGCAAGGGCAGGGGCTCCTCCGAAGTGTGGCTGGTGACCCTCCTGGTTGGCTCCAGACTGCACACCCTGAGCCTATCCCTCCCTCCCCAAGGACACTGGGGACAGGGGTGTCCTCAGCCCAGCTGGACCTGAGTGGACAGGCCTGAAACATGTCCAGAGCCGGGAGGCAGCATCCCTCAGCAGGCCTCTCCCTTCAGAGCACACCACTGGCCCCACTGCCCAAGGCCACACTGCCAAGGTCCCACTGGGCTGCCCGGGTGGCCACGTTTGTTCTTTTTAAATGTTTATTGTATCAGTCTGTGTCTGAAGTACAGAATAACCACATTCGTCATGGGACTTGGTATGTGGGCACGACAGCTCCAGTCCTTCTATGTCCCCTTCTGCTCTCCGCCCTCTTCCACCATCTCTAGATCCTCTTCCTTTCTACAAAAGATCTACGTATTTACACTTTGGGATTCCCATGTAAGAGAAACCACATGATATTTACGCTTGTGTGTCTGGCTTATTTCGCTGAACGTCAGGGTAGAAGCTGTACCCATTTTCCTGAAAATGAGGAGTTTGTCTTTCTTTATAGCAGAGTAGTGCTCCGAGGTCTGTAAACACCACATACTCTTTATCCATTTATCTGTTGATGGACACACAGGCCACTTCCAAGATATAGCTGTTGTGAGCTGTGCTGCTATAAACGTGGGCATGCACGGATCCCCGTAATGTGATTTTTTTTTAAACTCTTTCAGAAGATACCCAGAAGGGGAATAGCTGGGTCAAATGGGATTTCTAGTTTTAATGGGGGGATTCCACACACTGCTTTCCACAGTGGTTGTACTAGTTTACATTTCTACCAGCAGTGGAGAGGGGTTCCGTTGCCTCATCAGCATTGGTTATTACTTGACTTCTTCCTGACGGTCACTCTTTGTGGGGTGAGGTGGAATCCAGTGTCTCAGGAACAGGAAGTGTGTCTGACACGCAGCTGTTGCCACACCAGGCGCGTGAGAGCAGCCCTCCCCGTCTTGCTGGGCAGGAGCCTCACGCTTCCTTCAGTGCGGCGCTGAGCAGGGGGCCTGGGACGGGTCCTGCACTCGCCCGGCGCGCTGCCTGCTCAGGCGGCTGCATAGCGTGCCAACATAGGTCAGAAACTGACAGCAGCCGCACTCTGGTCCAATTCCACTTCTAGGGATTTAACCGACAGCAACAGTCAGTTGTGAGAGAAAGATCTGTCTGTGCGCTTCTTTGCCACATTTTTTATGAGAATCAAAAATTTGCCCAGAAAAGCCAATGGAGTTTTGAATACGTATCGCGGGAAAAATTCACCCAGGTGCTGCAAGCTACGTGGCAGGATTAGAAAAAGGCTGGAGTAAAAAATGGGTTCCAAATGATACAGTGTGCTACAACTCTGTATAACTTTAAAAAATGAAAAAAAAAAAAACCCTATCTATAGCCTGTGTTTTCTAAGGTGGACAAAACGCTTTTGGGCAGAAATACGCCATGTTCCCGGCTTCCCCTGTCAAAGTGGAGTGATCGATCCGCTCCCATGGGAGGCTCTTTGTGCATGACACCTGTGGTGAAGTCGCCCCCCACCTGCAGCCCTCCTCACCCACCGCCCTCTGTGCACACCTGGATTCCAGGCCTCTGCTGGGCTGAGTGGAGAATCAAAGTCCCAGTGTCCTCGTTCCCCGACCCTCTCGATAGTGGCACTGTCACAGTCCTGGTCATCTAGGGGCCGCTGGGCTTTTTTGCAGGTGCCCTGTCCTCTCCGCTCCCCAAGGCCATGGTGCATGGCAGAGCCTGTGGCATGGAGATGGCCTGGGCTCTGCCAGCTGGAGCACCACCCCAGGACAACCTGAGCCACCGGCCTTGCTGGGCGCCAGCCCCAGAGCCAGCCTGGTGCTCAGGAACTGGGCTGTGTTTGAGGGTGTCCCTGCCTCAGCCCCAGCATGTCCTTCTGTCTCGTGGGCATCCAGCTCAGGGTGGTTTGAGGGTTTCTGCAGAGTTGCCTGCAGGGCAGGAAGTAGGTGCCTGCCCTCCCGTGGCTCCTCCTCCCTTGGCAGCCGTGCCCACCCCCAGCTGGCTGCCCTCTGGAGGGCTGGCTCCCCACCCTGCCCTCCCCACCCGCCAGCTCCAGCTCCCATTTCTCACCAGCTCCCATGGCTGGTCAACCGGAATGGTTGCTAAGCGGCGGAGTCCTGGTGTAAGGTGACAGCATCCGCCTCCTCTGGGCCTTGACGGGGGGAGGAGCTGCTCTCTTGGAGGATAAAGACACTGTGCCTGGCCCCCTGGGTGGCGTGGGGCCCGACCTAGTGACCTGGGCTGCCCAGAGCTTCTCGGGTGCCATTCCAACCAAGACAGGACTAAGTCTCCGAGGCCAGCACCGGGTTTCCAGGCCTGTTCACAGCCATCTGAGCCCATCTTGCCCAGGCCCCTGCATAGCAGGCTGGTGACCTGCCTGTGCCTTACAAGTAAACAGAACAGCAGAGCTCTGCCAAAGGCCCCTGTGGACCCGGGGGGGGTCAGTGCTTGGACAGTGTTGGACATAGTCTTGGCAGGGCTCAGGCAGTGACGTCTGCACAGTTTTTCTGCAGCAAACATAAAATCTCACTGTCCTGATGGGGAGGGGCAGCACCCCCCTCTAGGAGTGGGAAGGCTGTAAGTCCCTCTAGGGTGGGCAGGGCAGGCTGCAGGCCTGGGGGAGCTGATGCTACAACGCGAACCCCCTGCTCCTGGGCCTCACTCTGTGTCCCTGGACGGATGGGGTGAGGCTTGCCGCTGAGGGCAGGTGGCCAGTGTGGGCGGCAGGTGGGAGATTTGTCTTTTTCTTTGGTTTGGGGTTCAAGGCTGGGACAGACATCGCCATAAGTGGTTCTCGGTGAGGACTGGCACATTCTCCCTGACCAGACCTGCTGTCTCACACGCAGGCATGCTGGCCATGGGACCCCGCGCCTCGAGCCTCAGCAGCCCCGGGAGCAGTCTGAGGCCTGTCCAGCAGGAAGGGCCCAGGACAAGAGCCCTAGCCCCTCTAGAAGGCAGAGCCACAGGCCATCATGCTCTGCCTAGCGGCTGGCACTTCCCAGGACGTGTGGGGATATAGCCAACACAGGATCGCGAGGCTTGGGGTCCCTGCGCTGCCAGGTGTTGTCAGGGTAGCTACTCAGGGGGCACAGCTATGGATGCTCTGGCACGAAGCAGGCGGGGACATCTGTCCAGACAGGAGGGCTCATGTGGGTCTGTAAGTACGAGTCGTGAGATTACTTAGGACCAAGAGGTACTGTTGACAGTGGCTTTTCATTTTTAAAAAGCAGCAGTTTCTTACTGTTTTCCCAGTACTTTCTACCGGTGGTTATTTCACCATTTATTTTATGCTGTAGTTACATGTTTCCGGCTGTTGCTGCCTCTCAGGCTGTGGCCTCTGTGAGGTAAACACTGTGACCCCTTCATCTGTGTGTCCTGGGGACCCTTGGTGTGATGGTCACCACACAGGGTGGTGGGGCACAAGGGCCTGCTGGGCCCTGGGGGCTTGATCTTCCCAGCCATTTTGAAAGCTTTGTTCTGAGGAGGCTGCTTACCTGTGGTCCTACCGCGCACAGGCCGCCAGCATCACGGGCGGGGACAGGCCAGGTCTGGGTGTGCACCTGCGCCCGCGGGCGGGATGCTGGCCACCACTGCCTAGGGCCACCGGCTCCTCTCTGCTGCGGTGTCCAATCACCGCGTGGCTCCCTGCCAACTGCAGGCGGCGGGCCAGGCCTGCAGGGCTCGGTCCTGCGCCTGAGCGTGGCCGGTCCACCCCCAGCCGTCCAGGGACCCCGTGACCCACTCACCTCGGCCCCGCCGTGGAGCCATGCGGCCACGCCGAGAGGGCGCGGTCAACTGCTGTGGGCTCTGCACCTGCCCGGGCGCGGCCGCAGGTACTGGGGAGGGCGCGGGCCCGGCG